GTTTATATATGTCTTTGGTAAACTTCAGAAACGTTAAAACAAAATATTGCTGGTGGCTCCTCGTTTTTTATTTTTTTTTTTTTTTTAATGAAGTCCTGGTTTTCTTAAGCAGAGATTAATTCTTTCTCAGCTGAGAAAAGAAGGAGCTGCTTACTGAGGACTTAAACACACTCATTTAAGAAGATAGATGGGTGTTATATGCAGTCTTTGTTGCTACAGGCCATGTCTTCTTTTTTCTCTGCTCATCACTTGCCCAAAAGTTAATTTTCTGTAGTTGCAGCTCCTTTGCTGTTTTCAAAACTAATTTCTACATCTGCTGGTAAAAAATAGAAAAGGGCTTTAGGTGTTTAATATGAACTGAAATAAGAGAAATTTCCTGCAGACCATTCGTGAGCAATCTGAGGTAGTGGAAGGTGGCCCCGCCCATGGCAGGGGGGTGGAATTAGGAGATTAAATCACTTATATGTGGTAAATATCTGAGCTGTTCTAGTGAGTTTTATAGTTTAACATCTGCTGATGCTAAAACCTTCTGTATTTAGAACCATGGAATCGTTTAGGTTGGAAAAGAGCATCGAATCCAACCATTAAGGCACTTCCAAGGCCACCACTAACCCATGTGAAGTGCCACATCCACATGTCTCTTAAATCCCTCCAGGCAGGGTGATTTCCATGGGCAGTGTTTGAGAAACCTTCCAGTGAATAAATTTTTCCTGATATCCAACCTAACTTTGAAAAGCCTTGGGTGGCAAAGTCTATGGAAGACCAGGGAGGAGCCTCTCTCCCCGTAAATTCCCATTAATTGCAGAACATGAGCACTGATACAAAGTTACAAAGGCTGTAATATCTCTTCTCCATCCAAGGTAAGCAAGTGAAATCCAAATTACTTGTTGTTTTTTTTTTTCAATAAATGAAGGAGAAAAGCTTAGTTTTCATATTGAAAAAAAATAAAAATTAGAAACTTTTTAGAAGCTTCTAAAAGAACACTCTGGAGTTTCAAAGTTTTTCATTAAATAACAATTGCTCTTACAGCTTTTGTTGATGGATGAGCAGGAAGAAAATGAACTGATTGTGTTGAATGTCAAAAGGCAAACTTTGATAAAGGTAGAAAAAAAAAATTAGGATGAAATCCAAGCCATAAATGCTCATGAACAATCAGAAGAGTATATAAATGAAACAATTTAGCCATGTAAAGAATATGAATTCAAATAATCCCAACACAACACCTAAGGATTTAAATTCAATGCCAAAAACTTTGGTCTATGCAAATTCTATTATTTTGAGACACAAAAGGCTGAAATATGTATGTAACATTCCTCTTCTTGAAGCCATTCTTAACACAGGGTCATGAAAAGGGGCTCCCTCACCTGTCAGGAGTTAGATATCAAAAGAAATGAGAATACAGTGTGAAATTTAAATATGGCAAACCTGTGGATTTGTCTGTTTTATTGGCTTCTTTTGAAGAGAAGCATTTCAGGATTAAACCATAATTGCTGACATTATATGAATTCTAATTTTATAACTAATTTGATTAATTACCACAGACTGATTGACCTGGAAAATATCCATTTGTTACCTAATTATTGTCATTATTGACCTGAACACTGTAGCTAATATTTATTTATTTGCTAATAATTATTATACCAAGTAAGCATGGTTGTATTGAAGTCAAAATAATACTCAGATTTCTATTTATGATGTTTTCTTTCTGTTTTGATAAACTCTGGATGCTTCATTTTAGATGACTTGGTTGTTCTTTCTCATCATGTGTTTGTATTTCACTCTGTCCATTTCTTATTTGAAATGAGAGGAGTTTATTCCAACATCTGGTATTTCCAGAGAAATCAAAGTGACATTTTTGGTGCAAAACACCCACATTTCAATCAGCTTCATCAGGAAAGTATTGAAGGCTTTGTTGAGGTGAATTATTGTATTTAAATCTCCCGACCAGCCTCTGTAAACTCCACTCCTTCAGGTTTACTGTAACTATTTTGAGTAGACCAATAAACAGGGAATTTATTCCCACGATGCAGAGGAGTTAATCCATGAGGGATGGTGCCATGAGGAGGAACTGTGCTGCCTGGAATTCCTTTTATTTGCCAGGACATTTTCCTAAAATGTAAGGTCTCAGACAGACTTGTAGTGATAAATAATTGAGGCTGGAGATAAATAATTGAAAACTGGAGAGACTTTTGACAAGGACACGATGTAGGGACAGAACAAGTGGGAACGGCTTGGAATTGACAGGTAGATGGGATATTGGGAAGAAATTCTTCGCTATGAGGGTGGTGAGGCCCTGGCACAGGTTGCCCAGAGAAGCTGTGGCTGCCCCATCCCTGG